AGATCCTCTGAATTTGACCATTACATTTACATAATTTCAGTGAGCTGACACTAGCTTATTCTATCATCAGAAGGATTCTGCTGAAGTGAAAATTCCTTTTTAATAGAACCTGTATACAATGACCCTATCTATCCAGCTGCCTGACTCTTCACTGTGTGTATCTTGATTGATTTTTGTATGTTTAGCATGAGCACTTTCCTTCTCATGCACTCATTTGTAATGGCTGTGGTTAAACCACAGAGCCTAGGACTTGCTGATCAGAAAGTCGGCGGTTCGAATCCCCGCGACAGGGTGAGCTCCTGTTGCTCGGTCCCTGCTCCTGCCAACCTAGCAGTTCGAAAGCACGTCAAAGTGCAAGTAGATAAATAGGAACCGCTCCAGCGGGAAGGTAAACGGCGTTTCCGTGCGCTGCTCTGGTTCGCCAGAAGCAGCTTAGTCATGCTGGCCACATGACTCGGAAGCTGTATGCCGGCTCCCTTGGCCAATAAAGCGAGATGAGCGCCGCCACCCCAGAGTCGGTCACGACTGGACCTAATGGTCAGGGGTACCTTTACCTTTATCTTTAATATTTCATAAACATTAAAAAAAACTTCCTTACACCCTCTTCACTGCAAATTCAGCTGCAGAAAGAATTACAATTAAAATTGCAAGCCAGAAACAGTGCGGTGTAGTGGTTAGAGTGTGGGAACTTGGAGACCAGCCGTTCAGCTGGGAAGCTCACTGTGTGGCCTTGGGTCCATCACCATCCCTCAACCCACCTACCTCACAGGATTGTTGTGAAGATCATCATCATCATTTTACTTGTATGTAAAAACCATGCGCAAGGCAGCTTACAGCAGGACAAGATTTACACAATTACAAACATAACAAAAGTAGTAATAAAAAATAAATAAAACACATCAAAAAGTACACAACCAAACTGAAACATTTCCATGTAAATTATAATAAGAGCAAAAAGCGATACAAAAAAATATATATAATAATATCAATAACAGCAATGAAAAACCCTAAACAGCGCAAGAGTCTGTTCAGTAGTCTCAGGTTTTGTAGTTGGAGTCAGTCCGGGCCCCGCCCTCCCAGCCAGGTGGAGAAAGGCTTGCAAGGCAAGGAGCAGGTCTTCCAGGACTCACAGCCAAGATGGACTTTGGCCTCTTCAGCATAAAATGAGGCAGGTAGAGAAGGCTGAACATCACCATGAGCTTCATGGAGGAAAAGTGGGATACAAATGTAGCAAATAAATAAATACAAATGGGAAAATCAGCTAAAAACAAAGCAAGAACCCCACACACGTGCAGATAAAATTATAATAAATAAATAAGCACTCATCGTGGCATTAAACTCCACAAAGACCTGTGAGAATAACTAGGTCTTAGGAAGAGAGGAAGCTCAGTATTGTCTACACTGCCCGACAGCAGCTCTCCGGGGTTTCAGATAAGGAGTCTTTGCCCAGTCCTACCTGGAGGAACTAAGGATTGAAGCTGGTAACTTCTGCATGCAAACCAGATGCTCTGCCACTGACTGAACACTTTCCCTAGTTAGCCTTCAATGCTCATCTTAGAGGGAAGAGAGCTCCAAAGCTTGGGGGCCACCACCAAGAAGGCTCTCCCTTGCATCATCACATGGTGAGCTTCATCTTAATGAAACTGGACTGGTCTATATGGGAGCAGGTATTCATAGAATCATAGAATTTTAGAGCTGGAAGGAACCCGGGGTCATCTAGTCCAACCCCCTGCAATGCAGGAATCCCAGCTAAAGCATCCATGACAGATGGCCATCCAACCTAAAACCTCCAAGGAAGGGGAGTCCTGAAATGTATGTTGTTGTTGTTCAGTTGTTGAGTCTTGTCCGACTCTTCGTGACCCCCATGGACCAGAGCACGCCAGGCACTCCTGTCTTGCACTGCCTCCTGCAGTTTGGTCAAACTCATGCTGGTAGCTTCAAGAACACTGTCCAACCATCTCACCCTCTGTTGCCCCCTTCTCCTTGTGCCCTCCATCTTTCCCAACATCAGGGACTTTTCCAGGGAGTCTTCTCTTCTCATGAGGTGGCCAAAGTATTGGAGCCTCAGCTTCAGGATCTGTCCTTCCAGTGAGCACCCAGGGCTGATTTCCTTCAGAATGGATAGGTTTGATCTTCTTGCAGTCCATGGGACTCTCAAGCACCATAGATTCTCCTCCAGCACCATAATTCAAAACCTGAAATGTATAGGGCTTTATAAACCTATATGTCAACTTGAAGAGGGCTCAGTAGCATACTGGCAGCAAGTGCAGTTCCTTCTATTTAATACAGGATTTAGGGGATCCCCTGGCTTTGGAGTTTGGAGCTGGAATCCTATGCACACTTTATTGGGGTTAAATCTCAGTGAACACACAAAGAGACAGATTTCCAAGTAATCAGGCATGCCCACAAATGGTTTATGCAGCCTCATTCATTGATAGGAATGCCAGATGGCTCAAAGGCAGGAACAGAAAAGAGAAAGGAAACGGCACGATAGCAGAGAAGCTTGGGTCAAGTGGAGAGGGAAGGGACTCAGATGAAATGAAAGAGGAAACAAGAGTTGGGAGAGGGAAGTCTCTGCTGTGAGGACCAGAATGTACTCAAAGCTGATTTATGTGAAGGAGCCAGCAAGGCAGGGACTTAAGAATAAAATAGGCATAATGACCATAAATGATGGGAAAGAAAGATGATTTCAACAGAGGCAACCCGAGTGTCACATCCATCAATCCCTCTTGTGTGGGAGTCTGCTAGAGCGGAACTATTCAAGCTGCTGTTTTCAGCCATCAAAACTGGGAGATGCGAGGTACTTTCCAAGCATTTTGAACCAAGAGAAACTCCCCTTATTATGTGATGTCTTTCCAAGAACATTCCACTGGATCACATTCTACTTTCTCCTACAAGTTTCTTTGCGCTTCACTGCAGTTTCAGGTTCTTGGAGATCATTTGGCAGCGTCTGGAACAATTGCAGAGCAGTGCAGACACCAAAGGCATTTAATTTGTAGCCCACTTGGAGAACTTGGTTCTGTCTATATTCCATGCCACCATTTGTGGAGAGGCAAAAGAATATCGCAATTTCCTTCTGTCCTTCTTGAGATGGAAGAGACCTCACACATAATGTAAAGAACAGACTGGCATATAAAAGCTTAAAAGTTTAATGTGTCCGCAGTACACATTTACTGGGTCTAGCATCAATTTAATTTCCTAACACTGATTGAATTGGAAGGAAGATTCAGCCACATTTTTGATTTTTTTTATTTTGCAAAAGGTCAAAATTGTCAAGAAAAATGTATTTTGCAAGTGAAAGGGAATAAAGAAGTCATTATGGAACAGGCAGGTTGCAGGCACATTTTAATAATTTTCACGTCAGTCAGAGTGTACATGGAATGCTGTAATCTGGGCACATCTGTTAATGACAAAAGGCATTTTCCCTCACTTGGTGCAAGAGATTTTCTTGGAACCACAAAGTTGGAAGGGACTTTGGAGGTCATCTACAGTACTTCAACGCTCTGCTCAATTCAGGATCTGCCATGCAGGATGCAAGTGCAGAATTCCTAGCAGATGGCTGGCCATCCTCTCCTTAAATACTGTAAGAGAAGAGGCCCCCAGCAGTTCCTAGGGCAGCCCATTCCAGTGTTGAACAGCTCTTGCCATAAGAAAGTATTTCCTAATGCTTAGCCAAAATCTGCTTCCTTGCCATTTTCACCCACTAATTCTACTCCTGCCCTCTGGAGCACTATGTGGATTTTCAGGTCTGGATAAAACCCACCTAGGATGGAAGAGATATTAAGAATAAAGAGCATTCTAATCTCTTGGGAAAGGAGAAAACAGGATGATACATATTGCACTGTGCTCCTGTCTTAGCCCATGAGGAAGACAGCAAGACCAGAGGTCACTGCTAGTACTGTACAACTATTTTAGAGTGTGCTTGTTTTTTCATTGCAGTCCCAATTTGGACTGCTTTCCTCACCCCTGCTATGCACTTTTCAAGAGCCATTTGCTAACTGTATGACTGGCACCTCATCTGGTATGAGCTTCAGCCTAAAGTGTTAAATAGTACCTGTTGAAGAACACCTGGCATATTTGAGCATTCCCCCTTTATAATTGAGGCATCTCTCTCTCTGAAAAATAAATGACTCAGAATTCTCCCTGAGGAAGGTAGGGGACAATGCATAATCATCTCTGCACACCACTGAGGGATCTTTCCCTTTCCTCCCTGAAATTAATGTCTCCCTTCCTTTTTTCTTGGGCAGGAGTAGAATAGGAGCAGGAATGCCCTCGCCGCCCCCAAGCAGAAGGAAGAAAGCTTGTTTTTATTCGTGCACAGATCCTGGCCCCCACTGATTTGTATTTATTTTTAAAATTTCTATTCCACCCTTCCTCCCACAGGCACTTTTAAATCAACCACCACCAGATTTTTATTCTTTGTGTTTTCACCTGCAGTTTTAAGAAACTAAGAAGAGACAAAAATACAGCACTTGCTTTAGGGATATAGAATTTATAGATGACATTGCATCTCTCATTTAAGGTGCCATTATGATTTTTAACTGGGAATCCCTCCATCATAAGTTCACCCTGCATTTGAAAACCTTCACACACACACACACCCTAATAAGAGTCTGCTGGCACCATAAAGATTAGTAAATTTATTGTGCTATAAGCTTTCGTGGCCTTCGGTTCACTTCCTCAAACGTAGATTTCAAAATAGCAGCAATAGTAAAATCCGATTCAATCCCAAAGAAAGAGTCTACAGGGGAGTCTATGAACTGGCACCTATCCGACAGGTGTAATTATTCGTTTGTCTAAGGAGGATCTCACTGGCTGCTTAAACTGCAAAGAGGAATGTAGTTCTTCTTAGAGGAAGGCAGGTGGCGTAAACGTACAATGGAAACCTGTGCAAAACACCCCAAACGAAGCTAATTCTGTAGCATTCTTTCTGAACAGCTCAGCTGCGCTCCCCCCCCCCCGTGACCGACTGGGGTGACGTCAGTATGGCAGTGGAGAGTCAGGTGATGCACACTATAAGCGAAGGGAGCTGTCCGGGTGCTGAAAACAGTCCATAAAACTTGCCGCGGACAGATAACGAAGACCATGCTTTAAATTGTCTCTGCACACAGGTAAGCAGACCTACTTTCTCTTTAATTGACAAACAGAATGGGAGACCAAATGCACACACTCTCTATGCATATACAGTTTCCACTGCAAGGATCAGGCGGGGTGGGAGGTGGATAGCATAGCCAGGAAACGTCTGAAATTGCCACCTGATGCACTTCACTTAAGTAGCACAAAAACACGGTTTTACTGGGCAATTTAAGAACATTTACTTTGCACCTGATAATGGATACTAAAACAGCCAAATAACAGCCAAAAGCCCTGGAAAAGGTTGATTCTACACAATTACTATGCAAACCAATTATACTATCCTAGAAAGGTGATTTTGGCAATTTCACGTGCTTTTAGTACATTATCAACATGTGCGTGAAGCTATATGCTTCTAAAGAGCAGTAGTGAATTTAAGGAGAACTACAAACACCAGCAAATAAGGTTTTGCGCTTCTGCTCTCGAAGATCACGGTTCTTTCTGATTAAAGTGAAAGTGCAAAATGTTCATGGTTAAGATGGGCTCACTGGATCTCTTCAAATGCTTTAAGGGAAGCTACTGTTGAACCATCTTCATAATGAGCAATGAAGTGGGGGTTTGATTCAGTGACAGTAGATTTGTACTCTATAAATGCAATGTGAATTACAAGCAAACTGCAGGGTTTCAAAATAAACAGTAATTGGGAATAATCCCATTGTGCCTGAATGTAATGCCAATTCACAGGAAGCAGTTAACTGGGAAAAAATACAGCTGCCATGCAAAAACAGCTGAAACACCCTTTTCCTGTCATTTCCTATTTATATTTAAAAATGTGTTCTATTTGGAACAAAATCATATCCTGAGGCAGCATAGAAAATATGCAATTCTTAAAAATATTAATTTTAAGTATACTCTGATTTTCTTTTATTTGGAGCTTAAAAGTTTAAGTTTTATCAGGGAACTAGAAAAAAAAAGGTAATTTACAGTTAAAGTACAAAGTTTTATGGTCCAGAGTGCAAGGTAAGACAGAGTCAAGGATAAGAATTCAGTATTTGGAAAGAAAGCAAAAAAAGAAATGGTTCTAAGATGCTTCTCATGACTTGGTAAAATTCTGGTTAAATTGCTATCTAATAGCCACCTGTGTATGTCTGCTGTTGCACTGAAAAACAGCTGTAACAGAATAAAAGTATTTCCCATTCTCTTAAGGGCACTGTGAATTGCTTTCCAATCACTGTTTTCCTCTACGTCCAGTCCTGAAAATTAACAAATTATTAGGTAGCATTTGGGGGTTATTCAAAGTTCTCATTTGTGGTGCAGCTGGGAGGAAACAAGGCAATTCTGTGGAACACGGTGGTACTTCAATTACCCCAGTATGTGAAATTATTTCATACTGTGTTGCAAAAGAAGAAGAAGAAGGAAAAAGAAGCTTTGACTGGCATAACAAATCCACTGTAATTTTCTACTCAGAGCAGTGGGTGTGTACAGGCATTAGGGATTTTTCCATCTCATGAATCACAGGCATATCAACAGGATATTTTACAGAGTACAAAGGAAAGGGGGAAATGAATGAACCGAAAAATATGAATTAAGCAACGACATAGGAAGTTGCCTCGTGCAGAGCCAGGCTATTGGTCCATCTATCTCAGTACTGTCTGCACTGACTGGCAGCAGCCCTCCAGGGTTTCATGGAAAAGTATATCCCATCCCTGCCTGGACACACCAGCAGATGCTGTAGCACTGAGCTATGGTTTTATGTCTGGTATAGTTTTGATTTACCTTGGATGGTTTGTTACCTGAAAGAGAGAGAAAATAATGTATTAGAGATCCTATATTTCCTTCAGCCAGATTTTAACTGCATAGGGAACTTGAATAATGCCCTTGTAGCCTGGAGAAATGATCTAAACACAGCACAGTATGCATGCATGAAAAATCTATTTCAAGTCTTTGAGAACCGTATAGGCAAAGCCTATACTCAGGGCTTAATTTGCTTATGTGTTTTCATAGAATGTATTAAGTAGGAACAGATAAACATGTCCTTTGCCAGTTCATCTCTTCACCACTGAATTCCCCCAAATCAGGGATTGGGCTGAAGGGCTTCTAGATCAGACAGCATTATTTTCATGCGGTCAGAGTGCTCTAAATCTGTTGTTTTAGAAATCAGCCCCTACTCCAGCCACAGCCTTACTATACAACATCCAATGGACGCTACTGCTTGCTACCCACTTTCATAGACAGAAGGATAAAATGCCAAATAAGCAAAAACACCTGATCAATAATGTTATAGGCTTAGAGTTATATTTATATGCGCTGTATTATAGCCCTTATGATGTAAATGGGTGTGTGTGTCACCTTACTATGCACAGACTGACAGAGATGAATTCTTGTTTACCACCAACAAAATTGGGAACAAATTGGGAACACCAACAAAACCCAGCAAAAATGTTCATTCAAGACACTGGAAATCAGTGAGCTATAGACTGCTATCCAATACCCAATTATCTAGAAGGGAGCCTCATTGAACTCATTGGGACTGATTTCTGAGCAGACATGTATAGATTATTCTGCAAACATAAAGACACAGTAAAGGATTTTGGTCTGTTCTGATAGTCCATCAAAGATTTTTTTTTTAATAAAAAAAATTAAGCATCAATAAAAGCATGTACCTGGTGCAATATTATGGAGAACATTTTCCAAAGTTCAATTTAGCTTGGAAGCACATTTTCAAAAAGCAATAATCCTCCAGGTTTACACAAAACCTTTTGGAGGGGGGGGGGTTTCCCTAGGTTGGGGGCCACACAGGCTGTTGGAAAGGAAAGAAGGAGGTGGTGCTGAAATAAGAAGTGAATGGGACATACCTTATCTCTCTTCCTTTCTTACCTTCTCCCTCTTTCTCCCTCTCTCCCACACACCCCTTCATTCATCCACCATCCATTCATTGCTTCACACACATCTCACCCTTCCATTCATTTATCATCCATTCACTCACTCCCTCCCCCTCCCTTGGCTTTCAGGGGGAAGGGCATACCCAAGAAGCTAGAGAGGCACATATGGCATTTAGTTTATAGGTTGCCAATCTGTGCTTTAGCCTCTCAAGCCCCCTGATGATATTGCTGCAGAAGAACCATTTTAACTGCCTCGTTGCTTCCTCTCTGTAATTCTTCCATTTGAATTCATTAAGAAATAAGAAAAAGAGAGAGAGACAGTCATTAATAGGAATAAACTGCAATATTTCAAACAAAAATCACCCTGCAGTTTTGGAATCCTGGTTCTATTGCTTCCACTATAGTAGTCCATTTTGAGTCGGTTCTCTTCTGCAAAGTTGTGTCATTTTAATGGAGTGAATCAGCAGAACATAATGCTCTATTAAACTGTATGCGGTGAAAAAGACCAACAGTTGTCAGGACCTCAGCTGAACCTTCTCATTTCTACAAATGGATGCAATTCTGATTTTCATATACAGATACTTTATGAACTAATTTCTATTTTGATTAAACAACTAAACAAAAAGCTGCCTCAAACCATTAGGCAGTTTTCAAACTGGCCTGAGATAGTCAGGTACTTGCGAACCTATAAAGTTATTGTATGTACCTTTACTGGAAATGCTGCACAATAAATAGAATAGCCGAGCCCCTGCCAAAGGCTTAGAATCTATGATTAGAATGTAGTTATATGAGTAATACGTGATACATACTCTATATTGCTGTATTTACAGTTCAAAGCTGGTATATTACAGAAAGACATCTTGCCTCTGCAGGAGCAGAAAATGCATCCTCTCTCCTCAACAGCTCGGAGAGAATCACACAGTGAAAAACAGGAAACCAGTGTACGTCACATCCAGTCTCCCTTTCCCGTGAGAAACTCCAACAGTACAGACTGTGGAATGTAAACACCTGTCTCATGACATGCTAGCTGCACAGTGAAGGAAAGCAGAAACCAACATCCTCCCCCTTTCTGTGAACATCACTGGGCAGCGTGTTCGTACAGTATCAGTACAAACCCAACTTCTGCACATAGGTACAGTGTTGATCCTTTGATACAATCTTGGACAATACATCAGCAGGAATTTCATTACCTGGCATATAGGACACCGTTACGAGTCCCTTCTGAATACATTCCCTAGCATGCTGCAACTTTAATTGTAAGTGCTTTGTGCTTTGCTTACAACCTTCAGACTTCAGCAAAGCCAAACATGCTTTGTTGTCCTGGTAAACCTGGATTGGACATTTGACAGGAATTTTCATATCTTTGCACAATTGTACTAACCATTCACAATCCTTAAGTGAATAAGACAGTGCATTCAGTTCAGCTTCACAAGTACTTAAGCTAACTGTTGTTTGCTTCTTGCATGACCAATCAAACAGACTCTGATTGTACATATAGCAAACTCCAGACGTACTTTTCCTGTCTGTAGCGTCACTTCCAAAACTTGCATCTGCAAATATCTCAAGACCACCAGACTTCTGATTGTTAAATCTCAGTCTGTAATGCATAGTGCCTTTCAAATATCGCGCTATGCGTTTCAGAGCTTTCCAATCCTTGACACCAGGTTTGTTGACTTGTCTGCTTAGCAAATTACAGCTAACAGCAATGTCTGGTCTTGAACATCTGGCAATGAAGTTTAGCTTGCCTAGCACACTCCTGTACAGTGTAGTGTCAGAAAATGCTTCTTCAGTGTCATCTACCTGATAACCTGTTGTCATCGGTGTGTCTGCAGGGTTAGCATCCATCAGATTTAGTTTGCTTAACACATCAGCAATTTTCCGTGACTGGTGTACTAGAATGTTACCATCTTGATCTCTCTCTATTTCCAGAGATAGGTAGTTGTTTACCTCACCAAGATCTTTCATGTCAAAGTGCTCTTTCAGTTGAGCTAGGCGTTATTGTACATTGCGACATCTTTCCAAAAGAATAATAAATCATCAACATAAAACAAACAGTACAGTTTCTTTTGCCCCTCCTCTTTGACAAATACACATGGATCAGCTTTCCTTGCTGAAAACCTAGAGAAAACAATACTTCAGTGAGTTTTGTGTGCCAACACCGTGCACTTTGTTTGAGACCATAAAGGGATTTCTTCAGAGCACAAACAAATCCCTGTTTAACCTGTACGCCATCAGGTGGAAGCATATAAAGTGATTCATCTAGAGATCCGTACAGAAAAGCTGTATTAATATCATGGTGACTAATGTGTAGATTTTCCTCTGCAGCTAGCTTGAGCATAAGCCTAATGCTTTCATATCTCACTGTGGGTGAATAGGTCTCGTGATAGTCTTGACCTGGTACCTGTGCAAAACCTCTGGCTACCAATCTGGCTTTGTGTCTGACTATCTTGCCATTTTGATCTGTCTTCGCTTTGAAGACCCATTTGCTTCCAAGCAGTTTCATTCCTGGAACTACTGGAACTAGCTCCCATGTTTTGTTCCTTTCTAAGGAATCAAGCTCAGCCTTCATGGCATTTAACCATGGCTCAGCTTCCTTTGAATCCAAACCCTGGATTTCTTGGAAACTTGAAGGTTCAAATACCTTCTTGGAGCTTTTAACAGCTGTTACTGCTATCGTAGCAAACTCATCAGCAAATCTCTTTGGAGGTTTGCTTTTTGTGGCTCTCTGTGACCTACGAATTAGCCTTAAGTCTTCAACACTCTCCTCTTCCTTCTTAGGAGAAAACGACCTATTGTGAACAATGGTTCCTCCAATTCTTGATCAGAGCTTTCAGAGGGTCGCATAGAGGCTTTCGCACTCTTGAAATCCTCTGAATCACCCGATTCAGTTTCAGATTCAGACTCAGAACCTTCATCAGTGGGTGTGGGCTGTTGTGGCTGCTTTGACTATCCTCAGTCTCATCACCGTCATCAGGATAACATTGGAAAATTCCCACATTCTCCCCCACTTTGCATTGTACTCAACACTTCTCGTGAGCTTAATTGTCTTAGAGTCAGTCATCATTATTCTGTAAGACCCTTTCTGATAACCTAGAAGGATACCATGCAATCCACGCTTGTCTCAGTTGGAGTTTTGTGGTGAGCGAACCCACATGTCAGAACCAAAATCTTCATGTGTTTGATGTATGGCTTCTTGCCAAACATCTTCTCATAGGGGTACAACCAATCGCTGAAGATAACCTGCGATTGTAACTGTAAACAAAACACGAGAGAGATTCGGCCCAATAACTCTCTGGAAGATTGGCATCATGCAGCAAGGTTTTTAACCCTTGAAGCAATGTCTGATTTGCCCGTTCCGCAAGTCCATTCTGCCATGGCGAGCGAGGACTAGACAAATCGTGTTGAATTCCTTTCTCAGCCAGAAAAACTTCAAACTGCTGAGAAGTGAATTTCCCCGCGATCACTGAAAAGAGTCTTTATCTTCTTACCATGCACATTTTCCAACCAAGCACAGAATTCCTTGAACCTAGGAAAAGCCTCCGATTTCTGCTTGAGATTGTACACAAAAATATATCTAGAAAATGCATCAATGAGAACCATGAAGTATCTATTTCCACCCAAAGAGGGCGTTAGTGGTCCAACCAAATCAGCATGAACAACCTGGTATGGTTCTGTAGCTGTCCTACTAGACACCTTACCTTTCGCAGCCATTTTCACCTTGTTTGCTGCGCATGCTTTGCACTTCATGTGGTACCTGCAGGGTTTAATAGTCATACCTTCAACCAAGGCAGGCATTTTAGATACTGCCTCAAAATGCAAATGACCAAATTTTCGATGAAAATCGTGAATACATTCTGCATGCAAACTTTTGTTAGAACCTGCAATGCAACAAGTGTCATCCTGCACCACATCATCATAATACAAAACAAACAAACGATCAACATATTCTGCATGCAATACATAATCATTTTTCTTTGTGATGATGCACTTCTTGTTCTTGAAGGAAACGTCAATGTTCCGCTCATTCAGCTGTCCAACGCTGAGCAGATTATGTTTGGCGTCTGGCACGTAAAGCACATTCTGTATCGATAAGTCCAAACTGTGAAGAACAACAGTTCCGTAGCCTTTACTGGGAATAGTGTGGTCATCCGCCTGGTGAATCGCACCTTCCTGCGGTGTAAAAGACACAAACAGTTTCTTATCGTTGCACATGTGGTGGGTGGCCGCTGAATCAACAACGAAGAAAGATCTAGACGTCTTCTGGACCTCTGCAACCTTTGGAGTGAAGCGTGAAACCATAGCCTTGTGCTGCGTTGTCCTAGACACCGGACCTTTGCCTTTGCCTCGGCCTTTTCCGCGCGATGAGCTTCGCTGCGCTGCTCTGTCTTGGCCCTGGGATGTCTGCATTCCCTCTTCATATGGCCTAGACGTCCACACGAGTAGCATTTCACTGCCTTCAAAGCTTTGGCGCCATCTGGTGGTTCCACTGCACTATGGGATGACGTCTGTGAAGACTCCCCTTGCCCATGCAGCTAGCACCCCGGCGATCTGCTTCATTTAAAATCACGGCAGTAACAAAGTCCACTGTCAGCTGAGCAGTTGGTTGCACAGCAATCTGGGTTGCAACAGACTCCCAACCTGAACCCAAAGATTGTAGTATCATGAAAGAATACACAGCCTCTGGAAAGTTGAGTCCTCTCTGTTGCAGCTCATGTCTCAGATTTTGCATCTCCATTAGATGTAAACGCACATCTCCACCTTCAGCAAGAGCCATATTATGCAGCTTGTTAAAGTAAAACATAGTGGATCCAGCTTCTGTCCTTAAGTGAGCCTCTCTCAGAGCGTCCCAAATTTCTCTGGCTGAGGTCTTATCACGCAATAGACAGAGCTCTTCTGGGGATACTATCAATGTAAGAGATCCCTTGCTTTGGAATCCTTAGCTTCCCATGCATCTGTAACTGGAACTGGGGGTTCCTGTAATCACCTCAAACAAACCCTCTTTCCGCAGAATTGCCTCTGCATACTGAACCCAGTCGCTGTAATTTTTCTTGTTGAGCTTAGGAATCCCACAAGCATCCTGAAGGGCCATCATGACTCTGGCATTAGCCTTCAGCGTCATATGCTGCTTTAAATCTTGCTGCGTCACTGCTGCAGCTGCTTTATTACAAAGGCGCACTTAAAAGTTACTTTCGATTTCCCCAGCATAGTGACTTGTGCCTGGGAGCCTTTTGCCTATTCCCGGCAAAACCGGCTTTAAAAGTTCAAAGTCCAGCCATAAAGCCATTAATTTGAAGCTGGCAGGCTGCCCGGAGCAGTAGCACATACCTCATCAATCACTTCTACGCGCAGAGCAGATTCCTTTCCGATCCGTCCCTCTGCATTCCGATCCTTTGCCGGCACTCCGATTCGACCTCTGGAGTCCATAACCACGTGTTGATTTAAAGCAGAGTCTGTCGTGCCCAGCGGAAGGATGAGTAATACGTGATACATACTCTATATTGCTGTATTTACAGTTCAAAGCTGGTATATTACAGAAAGACATCTTGCCTCTGCAGGAGCAGAAAATGCATCCTCTCTCCTCAACAGCTCGGAGAGAATCACACAGTGAAAAACAGGAAACCAGTGTACGTCACATCCAGTCTCCCTTTCCCGTGAGAAACTCCAACAGTACAACTACTTTATAGGGAAATGCTTATGAAGTGCCCATGGTCTCCTTCTACCATCTCTTCCACCTCTGGAATTGGGCATGAATGAAGTATTCTGTTGTAGACAGAAAATAAGTTATGGTGTGTTCTTGGTTGTAGTGTATATTACAGCCTATAACAGTTTCCCCAGTTTGCAAATGTGTCCATGGGCTCAAAAAGGTTGTTGTCCTCTAGTTTACTGAATCTTTCCCCAACCTTTTCCCCCGCAGACGCTTTGAACTACACCTCCCTTCACCCCTGACCATTGGCCATGCTGGATGGGACTAAAGGGAGTTGTGGTCCAAAGTATCTGGAGGGGATCAGATTGGAGAATATTGACTTATGGGGTGAGATCCACAAAGGCAATAGCTCATTCCCCAGGAATTCTCTTCCACACTGCAGCCTCCTGCACTCCTCAGAATCTGCTCCAGGGACTTGTGGCACCCTCCATAGCAGGTTATGGGGGGCATATGAAGGGCTGTAGGCTGGAGATGGGAAACTAGAAGTCCCCTTGCATAAGACAATTTCTGTTGCACAAGAAGTGGTCAGCACTTCTGGATTTTGTCCACAGCATCTGAACACACAACAGACTCCATATGGGACTTCCCCTTCTTCCTCCCACAGCCCCTTGCACACCCTTAAGATCTTCTCCAGTGGCTTGGGGAACCACCCAGAACATACTTTGATGTGGGCACAGGGCATAGGAGAGGAATAAAAAGTCCCATTGTGCAAATGGAACTCCATGCGCAGAGTGTTGGATACAGCTGCTTAGCTACAGAAGTTCTATTCTAAGTTATACTCAGAGGATACCCAACTGAAATTAATAGAGATAACTTAGCTATGTCCATTAATTTCAATGGGTCTACTTTGAATAGGCTAGCATTGAATATGGCCTATTGTGTTTAATACATCCCTAAAATCCTGATGTTTTCTAGAGATTATAGGTCAATTTTTCATTGCTATGAGCTTAGATAATGTCCAAACTTTTGTGTGCTAATTTTCATTTTTTTATTTTATTTTAAGGGAACATTTCAAACATGGCCGATGCTAAAACCTCAAGGCTTGCTACAGTCTTGCCTCTTGCTCTGCTTTCTGCCCTGATCTGTTCTGCCAGTGCTGCTTCATTTCAACGTTACCAAAACATCCAGAAAGATCCAGACTACCTGATGAAAAACTTGCAAAGGCTTCCAAACCCAGATATGATCAAAGCCCTGGAATACCTAGAAAACCTCAGAAAACAAGCCAGCAATGGAGAAACAAGCCCAGATGATAGCTCCTATCAAAGTGTCCCATTTGCTCTGCAGCCAAAGGAAAGCAAAGATCAGAACTACCTGTCGGACAATCTAAGAGAATCTTTATCAGAAGATGAGTCACAGTGGGCTAAGGCCATGTTGGAAGCACTAAGGCAAGGAGAAAAAGAATCAAAGGGAACCCTGAAAGAAGGTAAATTCTACCCCATGAGTTCAGATAACATCTTCCAAGATGGAATGACTGATGATTATGATGACCGCACCTGGCCTGAGACACGGCACAAACATTCTAAGATACCACATGTCTACTTAGAAGAAAATTCAAGAGACAGCCCTTATAAGCGGACAAATGAAATCGTGGAAGAGCAGTACACACCTCAAAGTCTAGCTACCTTAGAATCAGTGTTTCAGGAGCTGGGGAAGATGATGGGGCCAAGTAACCTAAAAAAGGGGAGGTTTGATGAGGAACAGAAACTCTATGCTGATGATGAAGATGATGCCTATAAAGGAAACAACCTTGCCTATGAAGATGTGGTGGGAGGAGAAGACTGGAACCCAATAGAGGAAAAAGTAGAAAGTCAAACCCAGGAAGAGATCCGAGACAGTAAGGAACAAATTGAGAAAAATGAAGAGGAGATGGATGACGAAGCAAAGAGGTCCAGCATCCTGGAGGATGAGATGAAAAGAGAGGACAAAGATCAAGTGTCAGAGGATGTTTCACAGCTGATGGATTATTATTTAAAAAAGATGATAAGCAGTGCCGGAAATGACAACTCAAGATTCAAGCAAAATGAAGACAAAAGGGCCGCGAGATATTCTGGAAAGCAACTTGATCCTCAGGCTATTTATCAGTTAATAGAAATTTCAAGGAATTTACAAATCCCACCTGAGGATTTAATTGAGATGCTGAGAGCTGGTGATAAACAGAGTGAAAAAGAGCAAGAGCCTGAACTCCCAGAAGATGTTGATGACATCCCTGAAATTAATGTAGACAATTCAGATGTATTCAAAAATAAAATGAACTCTTTGAATGGTTACAGAAAGCAGCGACTTAATTTGATACCGGATAATCTACCAGAAGATCTCACTGTGGAAGATATCATCAATCTTTTGGGGACTGAAAATGTAGGGAGTCAGAAACCATCATATCTGGCAAATCAACTCAAGCAAGAGTTGCCAAGAGTTTCCTACATGCCTGGAAGATCTAAAGGGCACCAGTTTCCCAAAGCTGCTTGGTTAAACCATTTGGAAAGACGACAAATGGAACAGGAATCACTAAATGAAAAGGAAGAAGACTTGGCAGACTACTTAGCCAAGGTGCTGGCAAAATATCCCGAGGTTGTTAATACAGGTCAGATGAAACAAATTCCACTTGCACTTTCCTCCGAGGGTGACTTGCAAGAAGATGACCAGTTTGAGCAGGCTATCAAAGAACATCTAAACCAGCTTGGAACTCAAGAGTCAGACAAGTTGACATCTCTCAGCAAAAGGCTGTCCATGGCCCAAGAGAATGACGACACACAAAACAGACCATATATGGATGAGGATATGCTAGCAAAGGTTCTAGACTATCTAAACCAGGAAAAGTCTGAAAGGGGGAGGGAGCACATTACTAAAAGGGCAATGGAAAATATGTAGTTATTTCCTTATTATTTCTCTTCATTGTATTGACTTCTACCCCAGTTCTGTTGTGATTTACCTTTCTTTAACAATTTGAGGCATGTTCAGACATTACACACAGCTGCTTTATGCACATAGGAATTCTGGCACCTGCATTTTCGTGAGTAATGTTACATCTGAAATGGGAGCTCATGGACCTCAGCTGTAGCTACCTCTGTGATCTCTGATAAAAGTTTTGGAACATGGTCACAGAGATTCCTAGAGATGATATCTGTGAGTTCCCAGCAAACACATTGTTTTGCTCATGCAAATGAACATGCCCAGAGGATCCCTGCAGGTGCAAAAAGTGGCCCAGTTCTGTGTCTCAACTGGTCCCAGTGGTACATGATTTGACATTGAACAGTCTGCGTAAACTCCTCTGAGCTGTTCTGTTGTTTATGGGTATCTTTCAATGTTCTAAATCTTGGTCATGTAACAAATTGCTTCAATTTTTTTAAGAAACAGATTTATGAAATTAAGTGAAACTATGTAAAACAATGACCACGGCAGATCATGACAATGGCAGAATGACAACTGCATTCTATGAGGTTTTTTAAATGAATTGAAATATTTTGTTATTGTGTGTAATGTTTTTGTGGAGTACTGAATAAAAATAAAGCATATTATATATATAATATATATAGTTTTATTTATAAAGCTTTTTCTATTCTGTGTTTTATGGTTGATGAATAAATATTATTTCTGGACAATAGACTGTGTTTTACTTTGAGTTACCTATAGAGTGCTCTGCTGGTCCCAAAAAGAAATGTGTAGCCCAGTCATGTGCATTTTTGCTTGCAGGTATGTCCCAAGTGTGTACACACAATTGCAAACAAAATTGGTAAAGGAATACTGTTTGTTAGATAAGTGTCTCTGGATAAGATGGTAAAAATTTTGGAATTTCTGTAGCTTGAAATTTTCCCAGTAGAGGTTGGGTCATTGAAAAAGATCCAGTTCTATGAGATGTGATTGATTAACAACCTTTACTGGTCAGTGTACTTAAAGTCAGTTTTCCCATTGCTTTCCTTGGGAGTAATGCTCAGACTCTAAATACGCTGTTCAGTATCCCAAAATCAATGCAAGAGAGAACTATGGGCCCATCTAAGAACATCTGCAGAGTCTTTCCTGGCTGGCTCACTCACGTGTTAAAGAAGTTTTGAGCCTTTGGGCAACACGGCCTTTGGGATTGTAGTCGCTGACCTTGATTCAGAAGGCTCCATGACTGCAATGGGCCCTCTTTCCATTTTAATAGATGTGAGGATACATTTATCCATTTGGGCACACACATATATCTGAATCAGAATCACATAATGTATGACTGGGGAGGGAGGAGGAATAAATCAATGGAACATATAAATAGGGTCTTTAGGACCATTTGATTCCTTGACTTAAATTCAGGCACTATAGTTTTGTGAATGGATGGCTATGGAGTCATGCTAAAAGAAGCATGTTTGCTCCCAAGTATGTTTTCTGTTTTCAATAGGTTATTTTCATTACTAAAAGGAGGCGGGGGGCGGGGAAGGTCCTGGTTCTTTAAAGAGAAATAACTAGTTTTTCAAGGATGCTGAGAAAGTGGAGGTTTCAATGAAGTCAATGGGGACTTCTTCAAAATCAGGGCACAAGTGTATTCATTTGTTGTTTAAGCATTTCTTAATGCATGCCTTTTGGGGTACAGTCTCCCCAGAAGATGAAGATCAACCAAGGGAGATCCTGTCGAATACACCTGAGTGGGAAAAGTGTGAGAATTCATACTTGTAAGGAACTGCCAAGTCTCAGGAATCAACGGCACAAGAGCACTGCTAAAGAAAAGCAAAGTGAACAAATGAGTCTTCAAGGCATGAATCCTCAAGGAAGGGCATTCCACAACCATTTCCAAAGGCATCATGCCTCTTCATGTTATGCAATAGAAAGGAGTGGGTACAGTGTACAACCTGTTGCCCCCCCCCCGATGTTCACAAGATATGGTTCCAGGAAATGGTCTGAAAGTACACAAATCACCACCTTGCTGAAACTAAGAAGCTCTTGTGCAGTGCTTTGGGCTTCATGGCTATGCACACACAATACATTTGAAGCACATTTGAAGCAACCCTAAAGGATCATGGTGACTGCAGTTTATCCCTCAAAGAACGACAGTTCCCAGTACCCTTAACAAACTTTAGTTCCCGGTATTCATTGCCCTGTGTGTGTGCTTTCAATGTGGTTGACTTATTTAAGTATCTACAGACTGCGCTTTCATATAAAATATCACAAGGTGGTATGCAGACAGAAAACAAAGTATTACAATAAATAAAAAACCCAAACAAACAAAAGCTGGTTGGGAGAGAGCCTCAATTTTGAAATGCCTGCCTGCCTGAATAATGCAGTTTTTAGAAGACATCTAAAAATGAGCAGGGATGCCTCGTGCCAAACCCATTGGCAAGGAGTTCCACAGGATAGGGCCTACCACATTAAAGGCTTAGCCCCTAATAAAGGTCAGAAGAACGTCAGGGAGGCATGTGGAACCACCAGAAGTGCCCCATCAGGAGACCTCAGCTATCAAGGGAAGTATGGTGTGTAGACAGCTTGTGATGGAAGAAAGGTGGGCTATAGATGTAATTTTAAGAACCAAGCAAATAAATGTTTTGAAATACAACTCCTGTTAGCATGCCTAGCTATGCTGGGAGTAAGGATCATTGAATTCTATAGGGCAGGACTTCCCAAATGTGAGTCTCCAGCTGTTTTTGGACTATAATTCCCATCCCATCATCCCTTTGGTCCGGCTAGCTAGGGATGATGGGAGTTGTAGTCCAAAAACAGCTGGAGACCCAAGTTTGGGAAACACTGCTAAAGGGCATACTTCTGAGTAGAACTGCACCGTCAGCCTAAGTTTTCAATTCTCCCTTTATAGCTCGTAACCACATAGGGATGTAGCTCACAAAGTTACACTCAGACATTGATTTCAGTGGGTCTGCTCTGACTCAGAAGAACATCAGCACACCTATCAAACTATTAATCATTTAATGCTCATTGGCTAACACAGTTTCACAATGTTTTCTACAGAGTTTGTGCTGCTGCCTAAATCAATATCAATTGGTCATCATTTTTGAAATTTTTCAGCTCAGACTCCTAAAAAACTTTTAGCAGAAGAGTTGGGTTGATTATTAGCTTGCCCTCAACATGTCATTAAAATGTCATCAAAACTGGTTAAACATACACGATGAAGTTAATGTCCTGGCTATCTCTTGGCTGATTTAGAAGCAAAGATAATCTTTTATCTCTGAGGATTCAGAGGTAGCAGGTTGGGGGGGGGGGGGAGATACGACAAATTCCCCTCAGATTCTGTTTTTATCCATTGTGTACTTACTTGTCAAACATAAAGTACTGCACATTTAACAGGAAATAACAAAAAGGACAATGAATCCTGCATTTGCCCTAATGAAATCTAACCAGATGTCCCGATTTCTTAATGCAGCCTTGTTTAAACAGATTTCTTATCATTTGCCCTCATCAATGGATCTGTCTAAATAAAGGCCAAGGATGTGGTGACCATTCAAGTCTCTCTTACAAGCTGGTCACCACAAGCTGGACCACTTACAAGCTTGATAGTGTTCAAAAAGTGACTTGGCATAAGCCCATTAAATCTTCTATGTTAGTCAAGCCACACACCAGAGTTTTGCACCTTGCATCCTATACATTGAACCCTTTCTCCAAGAGTCACTCCTTATGCAACCAAAAATGGGGCCACCCACATCCAAGAGGAGGGCATCAGCAAACCCTAAGGTTGAATATTTGGAAAAGCAACCCTATATGTCACCCTCAAAATGTCTAAGTGAGGACCAAGACTGCTGAGTGTCTGTTGAGAGGTGGGACTGGAAAACCAAAGGAGAGGGGTAAGGGGAGGAAGTAAGTATTCTGAAAGAAGGCATGACTGACTAGCTGAAACCCTGAACAGGAGCACCCACACTGCAACACTTGCTGCATGCCTGACTTGTATTTTCTGGTCTCCCAAATGTACAGTCCTGGGATATGATGCCTTACACTGGGGATAGAGTATTGGTACTACATAAAGGGAATGAAACACATTTCTCCTTTTGTGTGCAATTGTTTGGCTCTCCTATCATTTTAAACAGGATTAGTGTGGGTTTTTTAAAATGCAGAACTCATTAGCATGGCATTCTCTCCGTTTGCTGTGATCCTTTGATTCTGCCTTGAAGCAACAGGTTGCCATGGCAGCAGGAGAAAAGCACCAAAGCCAGGGCCACATCGTTCATTGGCCACCGTGCTATGATGTAATTGCTCATGATGTCTCCGAGAAGGGCCGGAATAACCTGTGAGACTGGCTTTGATGTGTTAACCTGTTTCCACTCCCGATAAAACTGTACAGGCGGTCTCTCAGATGGGGTCTTCCTTTCAACCTCATTTCTGCCTTTAACATTGGACAGTGGACAGAACAGCGTGGTATCTCTCTCAATTCTGTGCTTCTTTGAAATGCGCCTATCAGGCATGGCTTTCCTATTAATTTTGTGGAAAACAGCCAGAGCCCAGCCATACTGAGAAAGTATAAGTACGCAAACACTATTTCAGTTTCTGAAATCGATTTATATGAGAAAATGGGTGGTATCTAAGTAAGGTTCTTGATGCTGTTGTATCAGCAGAGGCATCAACTCATGGAAGAGTTTTCCCTTCCACCCAGTAGCCCCCAACACGGGGCTGGTCCAAGGACCTTTTGTTGCCCGAGGCATAAGAGCCAACTCCTAGGGGCTGTGGGGTTTTTGGCCCCCCACAATAAACATATTTGAGGGGGCTGGGCCCCCAGAAGGTTGATGGGTATTTCCATTCAAATGGTGTGTGCGCATTGTGTTGATTATGCAGGGCTGGACTTACCTGGGCCCACACAATATTTTATTCAAGTTGGCACCCCTGGCCTGAGGCAAATATGCTACCAATGCTTCCACCACCAGCAGCACAGATCCTGATAGATGCCTTGGTGGGGTGATAGGAGCATGCTGCCCAAGACAGGTTGCCTCAAGTTGCCTCATTGGTGCACCAGCCATGCTAGGGTAGGAAGCAAGCAAGCTTTGGGGCCGCAGGGCAAACCACAAGACACACCTTTCCGCCACTTTCCACCCCTCAAGATTTTCCATCCAGCCCCCCTTGAAAATCTGTTCAAGAATGTTGGCTGAGGAATCGTCAAAAATTGCCCCCCTCTTCCATGAGCAGACACCTCCCACTGCAGGAAGAGCCATTACACTTGTGCAAGGACACCAGCTGGGTAATACTCCAACCTTAGTTCCCTGCTATAAACAAAACACCTTTAATTTTGCAATGTACTTTTAATCCAGCTCTACGTGCAGAATCTTTTAGTTCAAAAATTATCCAGCACATTTTCCTGGGTCATGGAGTTCTGCAACTGAACAGGACTTCTTTCAGTCCTACTGTCTGTCTTACATTCCTTCTTCACAGAGGGCACTCCTCTATTTGATGGGCTGTGGGTTCGAAGTCTAGTTTAGAGATAAAGAACCATAAGGAGAACTGGGGCCTTAAACCTGCCATCAGGTTTGCCCAGCAAAGGGAGCAGGAACACAGATCACCTGTTCACACAGTATTTCCCACTATGATGAAATGTACTGTTTTTCTATTTAAGCGATAGCAAT